CCCCCGTAGGGAGTCGAACCCTAGTACCTCCCAGTCAGATGCATCACTCGATGCCCTGAGCCACCTCAGCGCGCTGATCCAAGCGGATCTTCTTCCTCTTTTCCTCCTCCTTCTTCCTCTTTTCCTCCTCCTTCTTCCTCTTTTCCTCCTCCTTCTTCTCTTTTCCTCTCTTCCTCTGCTTCCTCTTCCTCCTTCTTCCTCTTTTCCTCCTCCTTCTTCTTCCTCTTTCCCTCCCTCTCTCTGCCTTTCCTCTTTCTCCTTCTTCCTCTTTTCCTCCTGCTGTCCGTCGTTTTCCTCCTTCATCTCTTTTTCCTCCTTCTTCCTCTTTTCCTCCCTCTTCCTCTTTTCCTCCTTCTTCCTCTTTCCTCCTTCTTCCTCCTTTTCTCCTCCTTCTTCCTCTTTTCCTCCTTCTTCCTCTTCTTCTTTTGTCCCATTCGCGACCGCGTTTAGCGACGCGCCGTCGCCAATTACACCCCACGCGGCGAATCGGGCTGGAAAACGCGATTGTTGGGCTAGCTTAAACCGCCGCCCGCCCCACCCGCCGTCCCCGACGAGGGCGCCGCAGACGGAGAGAGGCGAAAGCGCCGACCCGCTCGCCCGCCCCCTAACGACATCAGCCGACGATTGCAGACTGTCACCTGTCTTTATTGTCGCCGCGCGGCGGTGGTGGGGCGGAGGCCGCGAGGGCCCGAGTGGTTTGTCTTTCGCTTTGAGCTCTTTGACACGGGAAAGGGGAGGAGGAGGAAGGTTTTTACCGGTTAATTTCTTTGGGGCGCACGCTTCTCCGTGAGAAGAGAGATGGGAGGCGAGATGTTTTTGACGCGATTTGGGTTAGGTTCGTGTTCGGGAACACCCGTCACAAAGAATCTGCGAGATTTTTAAACGGCTCTTTAGTTGAAAAATTGGACTTCTACTGCCGTGTTCTGCATGTAGACTCAGTTGGACTTTATATATTGTTAATGTTTACAATGTTTTACGACCGAAGCCTGTTTTTCGTTGAATATTTTTCAATCAATTTCTATCAATAAAGTCATTTAACCATGTTTCAGTCCCGAAAATCATTCGATCATTGTTCAGTCAAGAAAAAATCTGACCATATCGTCATGCCAATTAGAAAAACTCTTAACTCCATATTCCCTCTTCTATTTTACGTTTACTTAATGATAAAATATAATTATGAAATAAGAATCATAAATAAAAGTAAATAACGAAACGAGCATTTAAATAATTGAAATCTGCGGTATTTATAAGTTAAACGAGAAAGGAAACAAATTCTGCTTCCAGGCTATATGTGTTCTTTCCATAACAAAACTATCCAATCTGGAGTAACTAGGTATGCTAATTAGTATGACGATATTTTTTTATTCGATCTGCCAGAAGGTTTCATGTGACAGGTCCATTTAAAATGCAACAAAGAAATAAACAATTCTGCAGATTTTCCTAGCAACAACAGCAAACATAGTCTATTTCACACTCATAGCCATTTTTACTTTTCTGGGCGTGGTTAATTAATGATGATTAATTGATCTCACTTCCACAGACTTATTTGAGCGATTCATTGTTCGAGGATCAGAGGATAAAGAATAACCATCACTTACACAGAAAAAAAATCCCCCCCACAAAAAAAATTGTAAATGCAGTAGAATTCCTCTTGGCCTTGACACACTCCTTTACCCTTATCCAAGCGCAATCAAGATGTGCGCAAAAAATAGCTCGTAAAAACTTCCCAAAGTAACAGAATCAGAAAACAATCAGTGAAGAATGAGAAATTAAAAACTGTAAAATTAGAAATATTTTACTTTACTAACAACAGATAACTAGAAAATTAATAATCGCTCGATGTTTTTTTCCGATTCGAATTAAAGTGAAACCGAATTATAAAAATGCTGCAACACCTTCTTTCAGCACCAGCAATAATAAGCTACTTTAACTTTCAGTTATTTAAACTACCTTTCTTCCGGGTGTGATTAACAATTCACTAACGCTTCACTTCCACAGACGTGTAATTTGAGCGATTTGTCGCACGAAAACCAAAAGATAACCAGAACATCCATAACAAGATAACTATGACATCACTAATCGCTCGAAAGTTATTTTTTTTATTTTTTCGATTCGAATGGAAGTGAAACCGAATTATAAAATTCTGCTGCTGCTTCTTGCAGCGCCATCAATAGTAATCCACTTAAACAGTCATTTAAACTACCTCTGTCCCGGGTGTGTTTAACACAGACGTGTAATTTGAGCGATTTAGCGCACGAGGACGACAGAATAAAGATCAATGGTTGCTGCCACAAGAAAATAATTCCCAGCACATAAAAAAAGGAACCGATAGGCCCTGCCGCAGAATTCCTCTCATCTCCCATCACCGCCAGCCCCCCCCCCCCATCCCGGCGGCCGGCGGTCCAGTGGTCCATCGGCGACCGCAGCCTGCAACCGCAACGCAGGTGGCGACCCTGCGACACAGGCGCGGTCTAAAAACCCCCGGCCATATTCATTTACCTTTGCGAGCGCCCGTTACAAAGACGCCGCCAGGGCCCGCCACGCCCCCTTCCCCCACGCACCGGCGGCGGCAGGGCCGGGGGAGGGAGGTGGGGGGGGCTCAAAATGAAGTAATCGGGTTAACCCGTGAAAGTGCGTTACCGGTGGAACCGCCCGCTGTGTTTCGATAAGCCCACGCGCCGCGGTGCCTGGCCGGAGCGGGGGGAGTGGGGAGGTGGGGGGGGCGATGGTCACGGTTTCCGGGTGGTGGTTTAGAGCAGCGAGCGGCGGCAGCCTATGTCCTGTGGTTCACCAATAGATCCATTTGACTCGGAATTTCAGTGGATGAAAACTAGAACGGTATAAGTGACATTTTATAAATTCTGAGAAAAATCGTGTGTATTTTGGGCTATATCTCTGTGGCAATGTAATTCGGTGGTTTTAATGAACAATTGAAATGCCGTGGTTTTAATGATGAAACTATGTACCACGAATTAAAGAGATTTAAAGAGATTTCTCATAATTTATAAAATGTTACTTATACCATTATGGGTGCCACCCAATCATTTATGGCTACCCAATTGAGAAGGTAAATTTAATATATACTCGTAAAGTTCATACGATTCTTGGTGCAGAAGTCCTGGAAACTGTTTCCTTTTGTAAAAGAAATGTTATCGGATCATTAAATACGATAAATAAAAGATGTGGTCCGGTATCCACAATGTATTATGCTAAAAGCTCTGAGGATGATCGCCACGCGATCGAAAATATCTTTAACAAAATATATTTTTCAAACTAGACAACATCTTTTATTTTGCGTATTTAATTAATAGAAGGTATGTACCTCACCAGCGATCTAATTAAAGTTATCGGATCAGACAATTTTATTTGCCGTGTGAAAGAAATGCTGTACCAATGTGTGTTCACAATGATGAATATTTAAGTGTGTCTATTAGTACAGAGAACAACGTGAAATCAGTTGACCGAAATGAATGTAACCAGTTTCGAGCAGCGCTCATACACCAAGATAGCCATTCTCCGTGTGCGAAATGCCTGAGAATGTAACAAGGAATTGATGCAAGCTCTTGGGAATAATACAGGACAAGTGAGAGCGTAGGCTTCTGTGGCCGGAGTCTGTATTTACTTGGCTGTCCGGGTGACGCCGCGTCCATGGCGAAGGTGCCGACGTTTCGGCCGCCATTCTGCGACCTTCCTCAGGGCGTAATCGCAAGAAGGTCGCAGTATGGCGACCGAAACAACGGCACTTTCGCCATGGACGCGGCGTCACCCGGACAGCCGAGTAAATATAATACAGGATCATTCCATACAGGACAGTCGTGAGACAGGCAGGAGAGTGTCTGTGAGGGCGCAACCAGTGCTCTGCAAAGCAGGACAGCGGAGGACTAATCCGGCACGAGTGATAATCGAGGATCTGTCCAATCGGGGCTTTAGAATGCGTATTCAATGCTTTTGGAATGCTGTACACTCGTATACACCAAATTGCTTTGAAACATGAAACCACTACTCTCATTTCATATACCTTTATGAATATGAGAAACACAATTTTGCTGGGTCGTTCAATGCCCAAGCACTTGGTTTATACCTTTACCTTTCATGAGTATATTTCATCTATTTCACATTTTCCATCCGTCCTCGTATTCTCACAAAACACAATTGATAGCTGACTTACGCCCCAGCCCCCGAAAATTCATGAACTACATTAAACCCTCGTCATTACGAATTTCAAGGAACAGTAATAAAGAGTATTCAAGTTATAAAAGTTCGTGTCTTGGATTATTATTCAGGTACCTCAGAATTAGTGTTATAAACTTCTAGGGTATGTAGATGTAGCGTCGAAAATGTTCACCTTTTGCCAAGGAACATAAGTCGGAAATTAAATATAACCAGGGTATATGCATTTACCGATCATATTCAGACAACCTCATGTGTGCAGATGTTTGGTACGTACATGAAAGCTCCTTGAGAATGTCAGAACGTGGCCTGTCATCTGTGCATTTGGGGTTGCCTAAAACTCAGGGTTAAAGTCTCGTGTATAAAAACATATCTCCGTTCAATGCAATTTTCCATTGAATGTTCATTGACAAAAAGTTAATATTCCTGACCCCTCTTAGATTTCTTAGAATGTCTCAAACATTTGTATTATTATTTCTTTGACATGATCCAATTTTTGTGTATAAAAAATAGTATATTGTGTATTATTTTCTCTTTCATTTTATTCACTAAAAGACTGTGTACGGTGTCAAGTATGGAGATACAGATCTTATATATCTTCCCAACTTTGTGAACTGAAATCCGCGAGTTTCATATTGACAAACCACAATGCACTTCGGCATCAATAACCGTCAGACGGTTAGTTTATGTAACCCAATATTTTCATTTAAATAAATATGCAATTAACTCTTAATTCTATCTACAAGGTGAACACAATACACAAATTCAATATTCATATTATCCTTAGTTACATTTCAAGACAATTTTCGGTTCGATTAGTTGAATCTTACCTTCCTAAATCCAATGTTTCACTGCAATCCTTCCCTGCAAATCCAGAAGTACTTTTACACAGAGGTTGAGTTCCAGCACACCAATTCTGCAACAGTGAGAAATATCATATAATCACAATCCAATATGTTCTTCACAAGATGCATTGATGAAATCCTTACAATATTAATAGTTTCGGTGGTTTCTTGAGATTTGAGATGTGCAGTTATCTTTGGAATAATGTGTTCTTAAAATATTATTTACCTTTATTCAAATGCACAAAACAAAATTCGACTAAAATATAAAATTTGTTCATTGAAATAAAATAATGTTTCAAATTAAGACGCTTATTCAAATTAGACCAAAATTTGGTCTTACCTTCTCTTCGTATATAAATAGTTTTTGTATTTATCGTGCATTATTTTAGTTTATCTTAAATTCATGGTGAATGCAAAAGACAATATTGGTGAATTATTTGAGCTACTTCTCAGATCTTTCATAAATATACTTAAAATTCATGGGTTATTTTTATCACGTGCCTGCGAATGTATTCAAAAACTGAAAATATTTGTGATTCATTCACTCAGAAAAATGGGTCGTAGGCTTAAAAAGTTTTTTACCAATATTAAATTGATTTTCAATGGATTTGTAATGCCTCAACCATGTCATGCCATCAACGGAAAGGCCTCTAATTTTGTTGAGACAACTTTCCTTTGCACAGAGCCATATATCGAATTTATCTTTGAACAATTATAAGAAGTTTCTGTTTCTTTCAACGAACAGACGTACCTCCAGACGCTCATTGCAAAACGCTAGACCTATACAAATATGTTTTTCAATTCGATATTTCATATGCAATTTATGCACCGCATAAAAATTTTGAATATGACAATAAAAATAGTTATTCATCAATAAGATAAAATTGTATTACATCATTGTTATTATTAAAGCCACTTGTGCATCTTCCTAAATGTGTGTTTCGAGGCGAGTACAACACTTGTGCTTTATACTCGCAAATCTCATAGAAACTGCAATGTGCGTTCGCAGATAGGGTCAATGATTATCCTTTCTCTGTTGGCCGTGGTAGTCATTAACCTTCTTTGTACTGGTGGCGCGAGCTAATGCACGTGCAAAGGCAGATTACACATCGAGTGATCCAAGTTATCCTCCCGGATAGAAAGTGAGCGGGGAAGCCCTGACGAGATGAAACCATAGGTATTTATATCAGAGTACTCGATCGCGCAGAGTCCAATTTACCGTTTTAATGCCTCACTTTGAATGCTGACTCTTGCTCCATCGCCTGAATATGCATCACCTGTCCGCAGAGTGGTTTGTGCCGCGATACAGGAATCGCGGATACAGAGTTCATATGGAAAACAAACGACGTTTCTAATATAATGACAAACTAAGAGCAAGAAATATCAGAAACATTTTTGGTTGTTTTTTTTTCATGAGATCGTTTGTGTTAGATGATCATTAGCTGAATTCGTGCCACATTCTGAATTTTGTAAGATCATACCCTTAATCATGAATTTTGTAAGATCATGCACGTTACACCATGTAGCTAGGCCGTGTAAATTGTCTGAGTAAAAAGTGTAAAACTTGTGTTTATTGGCAAACAGAAGATCTTAGATCCATGAAACTAGATCGCACATAAAATCAATTTTTCAATTTATTTATGTACAGAATTGGAAAAACCAAGTTTTTAATCTCCCATAACCATCACTTACCCACGGAATCAAAAATTTTTGATTCCACTGTATTGATATAGTCTCAAATAACGGTCTAATGATCTGATGAGAAAACCAGTTATTATTCACAGTTTCAAGGTTGTGTACGATTGCGTGTCAAAAAAAATTAATATGCTAATCAGGTTACAAGGCAACGCCAAGTTCGCGATTCCAGATCATTATAATTTTAAATTGAATTTCTTATGAAAAAAGTTGTAGTATAAAAATATACTTACTACACCTACTTTTCAGGAGATATTTAAAATTTAAAATAAACTTTCAGTTCTTGGCAATTCATATACTGCTCGGTTCAACTTGATGGGGAAAATACTTCAATTATTTTTATTCTTTTAGATCCATTTACAGTTTAGCTTCTTGAAAATGAACAGAAATAAATTTCATTAATTTATATTTTTTGCCATATATACTTCTCTTACTTGCTGATACGATAGTAATACAAATGCCAACATACTTTTCGTAGATTTTTGGATTTTAATTACGTCATTTGGCAACCTCTATTACCTTATACCACGAAACACCCCATCCCCAATCAGCCACTTTTGAGTTCAACGCATTCGATGTCAAGAAGTGTGGATTTCAAGAAAATTGTATATCCATATAATATTTTTTTGATTCTTTACATCTCACTACCAGATTATATTAATATATTACGTATTAAAATATTACGTATGAAAATATTACGTATCGATATTACAATCGATACGTAAGTTTATGTTGCAAGGCCATTTTTATCTGCCAATAGGCTCTTATGGCAGTTACGCATAACTGTTTCTATAAAATTAGAGCGTATTGTCCGATTTAAATATATCATAAGATGGACACTTATCCAATCAGGAGCTTTGCTATGACTAAGTTTTGGAAATGAAGCTCCCGATTGAATAACCGCGTCGCCGATGATGTCACAAGTCACTATATTTAAATTGAACAAGGTACTGGCCATCAAAAAGGAAAATAGTACTTATTTTGACACTGATGTATAATGCATTGGATATCATTTGTACTGCATAAATTTAAGATATTAAATACATCAGTAACAAATAATGTAATTTCATCTTCGGGTTCAATAACCCCCACCTCGCACAGTTTGATCGTTCAGTTGTGCTTGAGATACAGAGCAAATCCTGAGTCTGTCCTTCATTGCTTTTAAACGTACATTAGGCCCCTATCTGTACTGTTGTTGAGGTCTCCTTTCGTTATTGTTGTTGTTGTTGTTGTGGTGGTGGTGGTGGTGGTTGGGGTGAGGGATAAAAATTTTGTTACAAGTTCTTAAAAATTAAATCTGTAGTTTGTTTATCAATGCAAATAAATATTACACGGGAGTTACTTTAGAACGCAATTTTCTAGTTTTTAAATATTGCAAACCTAGCGTTGTTGGTAGGTTTATTCAGCATTCGACTATGGATGGGGTCAGAATAATGTTCAAGAAAATATGAAGCTCAAGAAAACGCATTACATTTTACTTCTCTCCGTACATCACATGTTTTTTACAGTATCTGGCGAAAATAAATACTTAAGAAATAGTTAGGTGAACTAGGGGGTGCGATAACGCGTTTAGACTGGCCTAATTTTGACGAGCATTTCAACAAATATTAATTTTTGTTAAGTGAACGTACAATTGGTCACCTCTCCGTCTAAATTTGTATCTTTTGCCAACCCATTTGTGAAGATTAGTTGGGTCTACGTCACACAAAACGTCTCTTTACTACAGATATCTACATTGTAGAGATAACTGTCCATCTTCAACTAGCCTATAAGCTTCACAGATGTATTTATTATAATTTTCTTCAATAAGAAACCGTTTGCAGTTACTTCTCAAATTATTTTTTAAATCATATATTTGAATTATTTTCGCTTTATCAGCGCCTTTATTATATAATCAACCGTGTTTTTGTTCATAACCTAATAAATTTGCATTTCAATTTTTTTGATAGGTCAATAAGCGAACCATAAAAAACATTTAATGCTGTGCATGAAATTTTTAACAAATGAAACGTTTTTGTGTAATTGAATACATCATACCACTAGAAGTAAATAATGAATTCATTTATATTAATTTTATTAAATTACGTTTTGGGGTATTTTTGGTGATTTTTTATTACTTTTCTCGCTTAAATGAACAGTTGGAAAGGAACAAAGGCAATCCATCAGCGAATTTTCTGTCGACATAGTTAGTGTACGTATTTACATCGTACAATCGATTTAATTACAGCTATTTCAACGAGGTGCAACGCGCACACAATGAAATGAATAGCTTAGAGCCCTGAATTTGTGTCAAGTGTCGAAACAATGCCCGCTTTATTGAACAATAAAGACTTAATGAAATTATGGCAAGAAAAAATTTGTTCTACTGTTAGCCTGTTTGTATTCAGTGGTATTGCTGCACTCATTTCGTGTCATTATACGCTCAAAAACAAGTAGAAAGAAGGTCACATGAAATGGATTAACAACCGCATACCAATGCTGGGGGGCCAACAACGAACCCAGTGTAGTTTTTGGTTTTGTTTAGGTAAGGAGTTATTGTTTCATTGGTTAGCACTTTTATTGGAGAACTGTTTTTTTAGAATCTTTAATGATAGTTTCGCCAAAATAAAAATATACAAGTATATAATACACAAATCCCTGGTTGAAAGAATATGTACTACATATGGTTCAGACGTTTGGATTCTAAGTCAGAGCGAAGAGCAAAAATTAAAATCAATGGAAATTAACTATTAGAAACGCTGTTGTGGCCTTACACTACTGGATAAAGTACCCAATGTTGACATGAAAAGGCAACCGGGTATTAATATTAATATAACGGGTGGATTTGATGCTAAAAGATTGGGAAGATATGGTCATATTCAAAGGATACCGGAAAGTCGAAGGCCTCGGAAAATTTCTAAATGGTTACCTCAAAGAAACAGAAAGCGTGGCAGGCCAAAGAAAACATGGGAAAATGAGATAGAAAAGGTGACGAAGATTCGAGATCTTCAAGTGGAAGGTTGGGAACGTCGAAGGAAGCGGAGGCTAGGATGCGAGAAGCGGCGTCAACTGTAAAGAACTTCGCTAATACTACTACTAACGGTTTCGTCTTTCAACCCTTATCAATTATTTACAAAAAATCGAAGCCGTGGCTAATCGAAACCACAATTTACCATTTTCCTACGGTGGGGAGGGGGTTTTCCCCTCCGCGGCTGCCAAATGTGGCCCCTAGAGACATCACGTTCAGCCTTAAGGTTATTTTTGTTGTCGAGGTATTGTGTGCAGGCCCATCTCAGCCGACGCTGTAGGCATTTAACCGGATCTGGGGATGTACCTAAGTCCGAAATGGGGAGGGAGGAGATTTGTCAGGTGATACATGATGAGTGGGGGATTCCCA